ATCAACATGCAATTACTCCTAGTCATCATCGGTCATAAGGCAGTCATAGTGTGCTGCCTGTATAGTCATAATATTATGACTGGATGGTCATATCACTATGGCTGCCTTATGGCCAGTCCTAATACTATGACCGGCCATTTTGACTCATACTGTTATAATTTGACTAATAGACAATGACTCATACTGTTACGACTGACTGGTCATAATATTATGATTGGACATATAACACTATGAGTCATAATACTATGACTCCCAAGGTCAACTGTGTCTTTGACGTGGTGGTCGTTACAATCAATTTACATATCAATTATAAACCATCTAAAATCTCAAATTGATGAAGGATAGTATCAATTCCTATCACATTAAGTTTAACCAGTCATTTTTTTCGAGTTCTATGTACTAAGTCTCCTGAAAATAAATTTAAAAAGAAAAAAACAAAAGAAAACCAAATAAATTACCAACCTCGATCTGGTGTACAACTGGAGTATTGACGACAAGGAAATGAGGGCACAGGGAAGAGAGAGACTGAGTAGAGAGAGGCCAAACTTGAGAGAGAGAGAGAGAGAGCCGAAATGGGGTGTAGAGAGAGAGAATGGGTGGGAGAAAGTGAGATTTCTTTGAGGTACTTTTAAATGATAATTTTGACCTAAGTTGCACAGAAGTTATTTTACCTCACATTGTTAATATGACAATGTTAGTTGTGAAAGTATACAAAAGTGGTGCTAAAATTAATAATCATTTACTCAGGAGTGCTATTATTGAAATTAACCCATATATTATTCTTTTATAATTCTTAAAAATGTTATTTTATCAAGTATGATCTCCATAAACATTTTCTCCTAATTGTTCCACTGAAATAGTTTTCCAAATGCATCCTTATTTGTTATCGTTCTTTTTATGTAAAAAAATACCGTACTTAATTTTCTATTTCATTTATCCTTTATTTTTTTTTTCTAGTTTTTACTTTTTACCTTAAAATTTATTTATTTTTTTAGTTTAGTCTTTTTTTTATCTCTTTTCTTTTTTGGGTTGTTACTTTATCTTTTTTTCGTTTTGGTTTTTTTAACCCTAAAATTTATTTATTTCTTCATTTTGATCTTTTTTAACCCTTTTTTTTCTTATTTTTACCCTAAAACCTTCTTTTTTTTTTTGGTTTTTATCTTGAAACATATAATTTTTTTTCATTTTAATTTTTTTTTTAGATTTTTTGCTTTTTAGACTAAACTTTATTTATCTCTTTATTTTAGTCATTTTGAATTTAGACGAAATGACCCCTCCCCTCATTTTTTCACGTCATTTATTTTATTTTATTTTTTACTTTTTACACTAATACTCATTTATTTGTTCATTTTGGCCCTTTTTTTACCCCCTTTTTATTTTTATCCTAAAACTTTATTTTTTTTTCATTTTTATTCCTTTTTCTCTAAAATTTATTTTTTTTCTTATTTTAGTCCTTTTTTGCACTCGAACTTTTTTAGTTTTGTTTATTTTCCCTAAAACTTTTTTTATTTCTTCAGTTTGGTACTTTTTTTACAGTTTTTTTTGTTTGCCCTAAAACTTATTTATTTCTCTATGTTGGTCCTTTTTTATTTATTTTTACCTTGAAACTTTATTTTTTTATTTTGGTTCTTTTCGGCCTAAAACTTATTTATTTTTCATTGTTGTCTTTTTTACTTTTTTTCTTATTTTTGCCCTAAAACTTTAGTTTTTTCATTCTTGTTTCTTTTGCTGTAAAACTTATTCGCATCTTCATTTTAGTCCCCTTTTATCCTTTTTTTTTTGTTTTTTGTTTTTGTTTTTGTTTTTTTTTGTTTTTTTTTTACATTTTGGTTGTTTTTGCGCTACCTATTTATTTTTTCATTGCGGCCCTTTTTTTACTTTTTTTTCTTGTCGATCTAACTAACTAATATCTTTATTATTAAAGGAATTAAAAATGATAAAAATAAGTGATCAAAATTTAACACAGGGATTACTCCCCACATGCATAGCACGTGAAGTTCAACTAGTATAAAAAAAATAAAAATCGGAGATTGTATTTGTAGTCAAAGGTAGCTTTCTAACATGAATTGTTATAAATGACATTTTTAAAAATTAATCGTAACTAGTAAATTTTTTACTCTATTAAATTAAAAAAATAAAAAATTTTAATAAATAATATTTAGTAAAAATATCTAAAAAATTGTCGACTGTTATATAGTTATGGTGAAGAAAAGAAAATATATGAACACATTATTTTTGAAATTCATATTTAAAATATACTATTACTCCCTATACATGTTATCAATTTTTATTCTTTTCTCAAGACTGAAAGAAAATTTTGTTTGAAGATGCAATGATAGTACCTCTCGCCCCATTGTTTTATGATCTAAAAATAGTCTTGGCATAGTGGTCAAATGATGCTTACTGCGTAGAAAGAAGCTAGCATCACAAATATTACTTTTTGGCCCAAGTCGTACAACCATGTAAATGTTATCCCGGCCGGCGTAACACACACATATCCACCGCCATCACCCCAAGATTCATACTGTTAAATTTTGACGCGATTTCTATGACTACATACATGTAACATTGCAAAACATTAAAAGATGTGTCTTTTTTCTTTTTTTTATTTACCATGTAAATCCTATAATATTATATAGATGCTACACGACAAATTACACGGTTTTCTTTCGAACTATAGGCCTTATTAAAAAATACCCATCCGAAATTTAACTATAGCTTGCCCCCGCCCTAGAAATCCTATAATATTATATAGATGCTACATAAATACCCATCCGAAATTTAACTATAGCTTGCCCCGCCCTAGAAATCCTATAATATTATATAGATGCTACATGATAAATTACATGGTTTTTTTTTTTACTATACCAAATTTTCTCCTTAGTTTTTTTAGAGAGACCATCGGGAGTTCTTCAATGATATGAATAGACTTGTCATATCTTATGTTGGACCAAGTTCGGTGCAACTGTTGAAGTGTTTAACAATTTGGAAATCTAAGGCCTTGTTCGGTACTAAAGCTAGTAAGCTAGTATACACGCATTTGCCCGATTGCTTTAAGAGAATTACCTCCTAGTTTCCACCTGTCCTGTCCAAAACTATGGAACTCATCTGAAAAGTAGATTTTCTAGATCAGAACGTGAACTCTGAGAATATGGGTATAAAAGTGAACCACTACCACAGACAGGAGACCGCCATTACTACTTGAACTATCTTTTAGTAACATAGGCTCGGCTAGGTGATTACCGTGATAAAAGGAAAAGAGCTTGATATCAGGGCTTCTATCGGTGAAGAAAGGATATATACTTACCGAGATTGTTCCATGCCCGTGGTACAGATAACCTTTATCGGTTAAGCAATTAGATTGCCTATCAAGTGAGATGGAAGAGATTACCTTGGAGCACAGGAAATGGATTAGTCCTTTTTCCTTCTCGCGAACCACAGGAGCGAGGAGCAAAGCTAATTTTCCTTTCAGGGTAAAGCGGCGCATAAAAAAGGGCTGGCCCGTCAAAAGTCCGGTTCCTTCGCGAACGAAGTTCAGAATCAACAAGGGTTCTACGAACGAAGGGAGTGTACAACTTGGGCGCAGCATCAAAAACTAAAAAAAAAACAATTCGAGTTCAAATTTTATTTAAGTTCATATTTTTTTAAGTTTGAACTCGAGTTTAAACTCGAGTTTGAACTCGAGTTTAGGACTAAAACTCGAGTTCAAGTTTTCCCTTCAACTCGAGTTCAGAAACACAAACTTAAATTAATGAACAATATTTTTTTATTCTTAAAAATGCTATAACTTTTTCGTTTTATTCCTGATTGAGATGATTTTTTTCTATGCGTTGACAACGAAAAGACGAATAAAACCTCAGCCATATACCCTATTAAAATTTTTCATCACCATTGAATTTTTATTAAAATACTATCTAAACACAAATTCAAGTTTTGGCTCACTCAAACACAAACTCAAAAAGATTATTATCTCAAATTATAATTCAAATGTACACAACCAAACATAAACTCAAGTTATAACTTTAACTTAATTTATAACTCAAATTTAACTTAAGAATTATACTCAAGTCACACTTCAAAAGAACATGCCTTAAAATTGAACGAATGTCTATTAACTAAAAAGAAAAAAAAAAAGTACATTGATTAAGCCTCTATGAGTTGGAGCCATCATATGACCAATAAGCGAACACTCTAGAAAAAACTGAAAAAAGGAAATAGAAAACATTTCCTCGCAAGTTTCTGATTGCTGTCATAATTTGGAAAAACTGATAAACACAACACAAGAAGACAGAAAGTACAAATTAGTTTTCTCCCAATGAAAAAGTTTGATTCAGGACAGCAGAGCCATGGACAGAAGCACACCGAAAGTGTACAATTTGAACTTTAAAAAATTAGGAAAAGTGGAGCATCAATGTTTCTAATGCCATGTTGAAGATAGATTAATCCCATTTGTAAGATGTACTACATCCACCTCTTTACTTATTTTCTTGATTTTCTTTTTTGTTTTAATTTTTTTTTATTTTATAGTATTTTGATAAGAAGGAAATGCGTTGAATAACATTTAACTTGAGGGCACGCTTACAAGGACCAACCCTTCGTGGCTTTCCTCACAGTAATGATTGTCACCAGCTCGGCTATGACATGTTGGTAGGTTACCATTAACCAACTACCCTACTGCTATTGAGTTCTGTTCGTGGTAAAAACCAGGCATTTCTTGGGATTTACAACATAAAAATTACTTGAAATCCAAGGATATTTCTATTTGTTATAGAGTTGGCTCAACACAAAATAAGTTGTAGGTTTGTGCGTGCGCGTGTCCTTTTTTTCACATATTTTTATAATCTTCCTACTTCCTATGAAAGTTCTTCATACTCCCGTTTAGAAATGTATTTGCCCGTTTCGTTTATAGATTTGAACAGAAATTATATGTTGTGAGAGTAAACACTAAAGTAAAAACGATTTGAATTATAATTCAGACCAATAAAACAAACGGGCTATAATAGTATAAAAGAACCGTTGCGGGCTATAGTAGTATAAAAGAACCGTTGCTATTTCTTTGATGACCATTGTGAGGGTTTGGACAGACTAAAAGCTTAACATCAACAAAAACACTTGCCTTTTGTTAAGCTGTATAAGGCGCCCACAGAAAGCATTTTGATGAAACCATGTAAGCTGTAAAGCATTTTGTCTATGTCATTTAATTGACATATTGTATGGTAAAATCAGAGGAAATTCAGAAGCAAAAGAAATGGGCAAGAAGCAAATTCAATAAAACAGTTTTAAGTAATTAAGGATGAGAAGCGCAGCCCAGACAATAATTAACTTCAAAGCAAACTAAATTGTCTAGAAAAGGAAACAAAAACCAGCAATGAAATTGGATTGAAATGTGATGATCTCTAACAATTCTCCAAAATATAGTACCAAATAGGCCAAAAAGTTGGCTCATAAATAACTTCTACAGGAATGGAGGTAAAATTACCCATCTGCGTGGATACTTGGGCCTTCCATCTTTGCCGTCGAATAGCTGCAGATGACAAGATATCAAAAAACAGCGTCAGATTGAACTATGTCTAGACATTGCCAAGTGTGTGGTAATCGTGGCCACTCAGGGGAAATATAAACTGCATCTTTAATTGCTAGTACCAACACATAAAAGAATTATCTCGGACCTATGCTGAGGTATTGACAGTGATTCAAGAATTCATATCAGGTTCAAAGAGAAGAGACGCTAACAAATCCAATGCACAATTAAAAAAGCAGTTTATACCAGTTAAAAAGTTTTATATTTAGTCAAGTTTAATCAACAGTAATCCAATTATGAATCCGGTTCACTTGGTAAAGTTATTTACTGTTCTATAAAGGACTTAGATCCAATATCAAAACGCATAAACTAAATCACAGAGATCAATCACACAAATTTATGTATACCTTTTACATGCAAATGGCCATGTAAGCAAAGAAAATAGTCCTTTAATAGAATTTTCTTTTATTTAAGCCTAATCAAGTTGGGAAGAAATGTGTAGAACTAAAAGGAAATCTAATATTAAAGATATTTGCACTATGCACATGCAGAATGGCATTTTGTCTATGAGACCGGTGCGACAAGAAAGAAGAGGGAGATACCTTTCTCAGACGACGGTGCTTTGCAAGAGCCCAGTTGGACATTATAAGAGCAGCAACTACAAGGAAGACATAACCAGCAACAGTCTGCGTAGCAATATTGAATCCCAGCCACTGATATATCTCCGTCGTGTAATTTGCACAAGTCACAATATTGAACAAAAACCCACGTGGAATTTGATACCCTCCACTTCCGCCAGGACTGCGCAAATTGCTGAGCAAGATGTGGCAGTAGAAGTTGGCGCTTTGACAAATTATCCCAAACCCAAACCCAATCTTCATTTGCAGGTCACTACTAACAGGGGTGTAAAGTGGATGGTTCACATAGTAAGCTATGAAAGCGCCAAAGGTCCAATAGTAAGCACAGTTGCGGAACACATTGGAGAGTGGCGAGGTTGCGTGGCTGAACCGATGAACGAAAAATGTTTCCATAATGCGTTTGAAGTAGTGGAAACACCAGTAGTACATTGCATAGGTCTGGACGGGGTGGATGACACGGTCTCCTTTGTAACCGAAGTATTTATACACCGGAAGGTAGTAAAAGAGAGGATAGATAATCAGAGGACCCAAGTATTCCCAGAAGAAGAGTGTACGGTAGGAAACTTGCGGTCCAAGGTCCTTGAATACTAGAGTCAAGTTGTCTGAGCTTCCACCGCAATAATCTTTAAGACTCTTCTTGGAGCTGAGGACAACAGGCCTCTCTTTCGATCCTGGTTGGACCGGAAGCGTGAGCCTTTGTCTTTCAGGATAAAAATTTTTGGCTGTTGTTTTTAAGGCATGATGAGATCACATTAGTTCATCACAATAAATAATGTCCTAGGTTGACATGAGCTAATACAGACACAGAGTTCTCTCTCTCTCTCTCTCTCTTCCTTTCTTTTATCTTTATGCTTTGAAATAATCAATAAATTGTTTGCTTTTGGAGGTGAACAGACATTATAAAGCATTTGCAATCAAATTTAGCAATGACAACTGTTGAAAACTAGGGATTGGAAAAATATCTTTGTATTTTCGTGTATTGAATAATTACATTGCTAGGTATTTATAGAATTTACATAGAGAGAAAATAGGAAAGAATATCTACCACAATCCCTGAAAATCAGGGATTGTTAAAACTAATTTTTCCTAATTAGTTCCCTGCCTAAAATACCTCTCGACACTCCCCCTCAAGCTGAGGAATGAATATCTTCCATTCCCAGCTTGGTTACAATCTCATGAAAATTAGATCCACTTAATCCTTTTGTTAAAACATCAGCCAGTTGACTTCCTGAAGGAACATAAGACATACATATGAGTCCTTCTTCCAACTTCTCTTTGATGAAATGCCTATCAATCTCAATATGTTTTGTCCTATCATGTTGAATAGGATTGTGAGCGATGTTGATTGCTGACTTGTTGTCGCAGTAAAGCTTCATAGGTTCCTCCCACTTGACTCTCAAATCATCTAGAATAATTTTCAGCCAAAGTAGTTCACTGATAAGCCTTTACTCAGGCAAGTGTATATTAGGAAGAGCAAAGACTTAGGAAGGGGCAGGGCTTGATCGTGGGAGAGTTATTTTAGCCTTAAGTGGGAACTCTTAGTGTTAGTAGTAGGTTTTCTGGTTAGCTGGCAGGGGAAAAAGGAGAGGAAGGAAATTGTATAAAAGAGGAGGTAAGCCGAATGGAGAGAGGGGGAGGGGAATATTCTGGGAGTAGAAAAGTCTTGGAATCATTCCAAGCAAGGGGAGGAAGCAGACCCTCGAAGTTCTGCCTATCTTTGTATAGAATTTGTCCGTCAATAAAGTTCCCTCGTTAATTCATCTTTGATTCTTTTGATTCTTGAATTTACTCTTTCGTGAACTTGTTCCCAAACACCAAGGCCTTATCATTTGGTATCAGAGCAGAATTTTTTTTTTCCTGGGAAGTGAATGGCGGCCAGAAAAACTGAAGAGAAGTTCGACGCCATGGAAAAGGAGATCCAGCAGGTTAGGGCTTCGGTGGAGAAGGAAATCGGTGAGGTAAGGACCGAAATTAACCAAAACGTGGCAGAAGTGAGTCAGAACGTGTCGGAATTGCGACGACTTGTGGAGGAGCAGATGCGACTGCTAATCGCGACGGTGACGGTCGTTCCACCGGCGGAGGATTCACGTTCGGGAGCCGCAAGGATTCGGGAGGATGAAATCGGGGTGGCCCAGGGCAAAAATCGCGAAATCACAGGTCGAGTTGAGGAGGACGGAGAAATCGCGCGTGCTAGGGCTCGGGAGGCGAACGGAATCCGACCGGACTTCCACCGCGACGGTCGTAATGGTCGACCCAGGGATGGCGAGACCGGCGATGGAGACAGAAATCTCCGGGAAGGACGGCGCGGCGATTATCGCGCCGGGGGCCCCACCGACGACAGCCGGAACTGGCGCGGAGGTCGAGATTTTGAAGGTGGGGAAGGAAATCGCGCCGGAAATGGTGGACCCAGGCTGAGGATGGATGGTCGGCATGAGGCTGGACGTTTCGGGAATGGTGGCAGAGAAAATAGGAGGCGTTGGGAAGAGAATGAGACTGGAGAGTCCATGGAGTTTTTTGGAACGTACGGGGAACCTTGGGGGGGAGAGGAATTTTCTCCAATTAGGAGAAAACAGCTGGACTGTCCATTATTCAGTGGAATGGACCCAGACGGCTGGTTGTTTAGGATGAATCAGTATTTTTCTATTAATAGATTTTCTGAGAAGGAAAAGCTAATTGCAGCGGGAATAGCTCTGGAAGGAGATGCGTTATCGTGGTTCCAATGGCAGAACCAACGACGACCTTTAATCACTTGGACCGATTTTAAGGTGGCTCTGCTACAACGTTTTCGTTCGTCACAAGAAGGAAATTTGTGTGAGCGTTTCTTGGCGATTAAGCAAACGGGAACGATGGCCGAGTATCGACGGAATTTTGAGGTGTCGGCCGCTCCTTTACAAGAGGTGCCGGAGGAGATTCTTGAAGGCATTTTTATAAATGGGTTGAGGGCTGACATCCGGGCTGAATTGCGTTTACTCAAGCCGGAGGGACTTTCCGAAATCATGGATATGGCGCAGAGGATTGAGGAGAAAAATATGTTGCTGCGAAGGGAGATGGGAGGGCCCCGGATTTGGCGTCCTCCAGCGGCGGGATTCACAGCCAATCCGTCTATGGGGAGCACAGCAAATCAGCCCCAAGGCAATCCGATTCAGCCCCAAAACATTTCGAACGTGGAGAGACCGAGAAAGGACTTTCCGTTTCGAAAGTTGTCCGACTCGGAGTGGCAAGAGAAGAGGAATAGAGGACTTTGTTTTCGTTGCGACGAAAAGTTTACGGTTGGACATCGATGTAAAAAAAAAGAATTGCGAATCATGTTAGTTAGCGATGAGGATGATTGGGAAAATCA